TCCATGTCCTCACTACGGAAGTGACATTCATTTTTGGCATTGGCGCCATTTTGGCGCCAAGGTGGGGGCGCTGTAACTTAGGTATAGGGATTATCTGAGGTCCTTGATTACGAATATAACATTCATTTTTCCGCTGGCGCCATTTGGCGCCTATTTTCGCTCGTCTGCGCCCTCTCACTGATCAGCTCGCGATCAGGACTAAGCCTTTGGGGAGAGGAGCGTGTCCGCACTTGATAGATGTTGTGTGGATAAAATACTCCGCCAGATATCAGCAAAGCGTGTTGGAAGCAGCTTATCCGCGCAACTTCTATCAAGTGCGGTGGCTGCCACGTCATTTCCGGTGACACGCCCAATCAGACTTCGAGATATCGACTGTACTTCAGAACGCTACTCTCCCCAAAGGCTCAGTCCTGATCGCGATCTTATCAGTGAGAGGGTGCAGAAGAGCAGAAAATAGACGCCAAATGGCGCCAGTGGCAAAATGAATGTTATATTCGTAATCAGGACCTCAGATAATCCCTATACCTAAGTTACAGCGCCCCCACCTTGGCGCCAAAATGGCGCCAATGCCAAAAATGAATGTCATTTTCGTATCAGGGACATGGAATTACCCCTAATAGAGTAAAGTTTCGACGAAAAACCAAAATTTTGAGTTTTTGGGGTTGTAACAGTTGAATAGTGCCGGGGACGGCGCCTGGCTGAGCTGCAAATCCCGGGGAAGGTGAGACCCCTAAGGCTAATCCTTGGAGGAGAGGAACATGTTTTATGCTAGTGAACCACACTATGCCCCCCCCCCTTCCTTCAAAGAACATGAGCGCCCAGATGTGTTATGTTTTGTATTGCATCGAACTGCAGTTACCTCTAGCCATAAATCATTGCCAGTAAATTGCGTAAGGACTTGTTCACTTCTTTGTTGTAGTGCTCTTTTCCACTCTACCGATTCTCGAATTGTTTTTCCAATATGAAGGTGAGTATTGGGATATTCTCGTTTGTTTTAAAGAAAGTCACCACAGTTCGTTCAGAAAACCGCTCCCAAGTTACAACTCGAGAAGCGGTGCCAGCATGAGCTAGCGCATACAGAGTAATCTTATCACGTATGAAAATAAGATTCTGAGAATTGGAAGTGTCAAGCAATATTCACCCTGGTGGTAATGAGAATATAGGGCTCGGTCCCATAACGAACTGTGCACCTGTGGAAACAAGGCTTGTCTTCGTGGTAAATTTCCCCTTCAAGTTTCCGGTATAGTTTAACGATGAGTAGCTAGTTTCATACAGAAGAGATGAATAATTGAAACCAGCACAAGATAAATAAACAATTTGACGTGATCAGTTGAATCAAGAGACGAACAGCGCAATATTTACATAGTGCCAGCATGGTAGTATTGTTTGATTTACACGACACCGATGAGCAATTTGTGTTCGTGCAAAGATGTCGCGCTAGAGCACGATAACTCTCCCGCTGTAGAGCTCTGTTATTTCTTCCGTTCGATCACTTACTAGTGCGAAGTAAAGGAAAAGCAAACCACGAATCAATCAGGAGATAATCGAGAGGCTTGAAAGACATTTCGTTTGAAAGAATTGGAGTGGTAATGGATCGTATGGAGTTAAGGCTTACGTGAAGTCTGCAGAGCACCCAAGACATCCAAAACCATGGAAAACGTTTCCTTTCACATGCTCACTTGGTCCATTTCTTGTACAATTGAACTGGTCCACCTACCTGCGCTCCATGGAGTAGCTCGCCGACGGCGCGGATGCGAGCGCGCGGGTGACGTCATTTTGACGTCACAGGCGGGGAGGGATTGAGCAAGACAGGCGCCATTACTTTATAACATTACGTATTAGACACTATCGATTCTGACTTCACTGTGCAGTGAGTAGAAGTAATAACGAAGAATGACTTATTGAAATCAACTTCGATTAATTGCGCACTCGTTGGGGTTTACACACGAAACCGTTGATTTCCTCCTCATTCGCAAACAAATTCCTAATTTTCGAGAGCGAAAATTGTACCTATACACAATACAATCACTTTGCTCACGGCACTACAGATTGCATTAGTTGGCGAGGTGCCAGCAACCCTTTTACTATTTAGGCGAAGTGGCAGCGACGCTTTCTGTCGGCGCATAGGCCGATGTCATAGTTTGCGAATCGAGCGATTCGCTAGCGAATCGCTGGATCCGAGCGTTGCGCCAGCGAATCGAACTATGTACCAGCGACTCGGCGGGACCCAACGTTCAAAGGAAGCCCGCCACTTTCAAACAGTGTCCACTGTCAAGTCCCGCCACTTTCAAAAGGGTCCACTGTCACGTGACACTGTTTGAAAGTGGCGGGCTTCCTTTGAACGTTGGGTCCCGCCACTATTGAGTCGCTGGTGCAACGTTCGATTCGCTGGCGCAACGCTCGGATACAGCGATTCGCTCGTTCGCAAACTATGACGCCGACCACAAATCGCGCTCGCATGGGAGAGGCGATGCGGTGACCGCATGAAAACCCAGACAACACGTGGCTGCGCGTCATGATATTTCGAAAGTCGTATATACGAGTGTGGAGTACCATACGATCGTAACAGTCCTACACGACTAACAACGTAAGTTCCGCAATTCGCACGATCGATAACCTCTAATGCATCGTGAGCATCGGCTATGGTTCGACGACCGATCTCAAGGGTGCTCCACGCTCTCCTCGCTGTCCGCTTACGCTGTGACGTCAACTTTGCCACGCTCTCGGCGTTCCCGCCAGCCCACACCGCCGTGCATTTTTCGTCCACCCCCGCTTCCTCGAGCTCCCACCCCTACCGGACTGCATTCTTTCAGACCAACTCATTGTACCGACAC